CTGCCCATCCCAGCTATCACCCAGGGACGTGCAGTTTTGGAGGGTGGCTGAAGCTGGGCCCTGGCGGTGGGATGCTCTGGATGGGTGACACACAACAGGGAGTACAGGGAAGGGCTGAAACGGGTCTGGTTTGCTCTTTTTAAACAACAGCAAAGAGGTCTGCACTGTCAAAGGCCTTTTTCTGACTGGGGAACCAAAGCAGACAACTTCTTGCCTTTCATCAGCACACCAAACTGGCAGTCCCTGGAGTCAGTCGGTCTGAGTGATCCTAGAGGGGAGACAGCCAGGAACCCAAGAGGGACAACAGCCGTGGTGGGCCAGCCTAAGCGTACAGCAAACAGCTCTGAGACAGAGACAGCTTCAGACAGATGGCTGGGGATATCCATAGGCTACCAAGTTCTCATTTTGGTCTAGACCAGCTTTATTCAATCTTCACTAATGCATCTATTTCTATCTGTTTTTCTAAAGGCATGCAAGCCACCCAGTGCATCCCTCTGCCTGGGTTATGGGTGCTGGGACTATACGTGCAGCCTTCCTCTGCTGCAGCAACATTTGTCCTTCCCCCACAGGCTCTCAGGGTAGGATTGTTTTTATTAGTTTTCTGATAATACCTGGCACTACAGAGAAATACCGACTTGCTGTCGCAGTCTCAGAGCCTCAACCAACATCATATGAATGAAGGACAGAAAAAGCAATGTGAATCACTGAGCGACTGGAGAGTTCAGCGTGCCTATCAGTTCATTTTCAAGGACGGTTTTGTTATTGCAAAAACACATGTAAAGAATCATACAGCAGCTCAGTAATGCTGCTGTCACAGCAAATTCATTTTCTGCAGAAGAAAGGAAGAGAACAGCAGAGTTATATACACTTGCAACCAAATCTGCCCCTGGTTATCACTTCTGCCTTAGCAAGAGCTGACATCCTCCCTGCTAAGAATATTATCATAATAACGACATGGAGAATATTACCATTCAACAGCCTATTTTCAGCCAGCTTCATGGGGAAGGCATTTTGTAAACAATGTGTTGGGGCTTTGACAGAATTAAATACAAATAACCTGAACTTTCCATTGACACCAATTTTAAGATTAAAATTTCTGAGCGCCAGCTCCCTGACAGGGATGTTGGCCAGGCAGTCCTCCCGCTTCTCACCGAGTCCAGAGCCCCTTCGCTCCTACCTGCATCCCTGTGCACAGCCAAAGAGCCCTGCAAAGCCAGCAATGCTAGCAGCTTCCAGCTCTGGCTAAGGGGATTCAGCATCGTTGTCCTAACCCAAACCTGAATTCGCATCAACAATAACAGAGTTTGGAGCTTAGCCAACTAATATTCTAATTATTTTACGCTAAGCTTCCAAATTCTTCATTGTTAGGTCAAAAGGCCCTCAAAGACTAAGACACCGGCATTTCTGCATATTTGATAAAGAGCTGAGAAGCACGCACCACCATTTTGCAGGCACTAATTGCTACACAACCATTGCATTAGCAACTAGAACTTTTGCTACGCAAGAGCAGTAAGTACTTGACAAAGCAGATTACTTTTAAAATTACAATAATCTTCAGAAAAAAAACAAAAACAAAAACCAAACAACCCCAAAAAGCTATCAACCCACCCATTTTCCACAGGTCAAATTCAAACAATTACTGTCCCACTGCAGTGAAGCCCAAATGACTCAGCCCACTGAACCAGCACAGGGTTCTGTGAGATATTGTTGTTTTACCTTATCTGTGCCTGTTTCCTAACTCGGAAAGAATGAGAAGCCCACCAGGAGTGAATTCAGCATTATTCATAAATAGTATCAGGATACAGCTGGATATTATGGTAGACTCGAAATTTCACAGAGATTATTGCAAGGAGCAGATTTGCTCCGAGAGAAGTGGGTTCAGCCTCGGGTTTTAAGTGAAGCAATGGATAATACTCTCTGTGAACCTCTCCCTCGTTCTAGAGAACACGGCGAGATTTCCTCTCGGTATTTGAGAGCATGTATGGAGGATCCGAGTTCATACCATAAGGCATTCAGGGGAGAAAAACCACTCTCTGTACCCTGGTGACAGTCTCTGCATGTTTTCTAAAGCATTCTTTTAATAAAAAGGTCAGGTCTATCACATGGCGTACAATTCTGCAGTGTTTAAATACATGTTCTTAAATAAGCAAGGCAATAGAAGTGTCACCTCATCTTAGTCCTCTTTGAACATACATTATAATGACAAGGCATCTCACCAGTCTCCTGTTATAAAATTATTATTTACATACAGAACCTGTTTATTCATTTAATTATCTCTTTAAAACTTGGATTTAACCAGCCAGATAAAATCATTTGTTTGCTATATAAAATCCCAGTGGAATTTTGCCTGAGGACTGAGGCTTGGACTCTTCAGACTCTCTTTGCTTTAATTTGTAAGTATTTTATAGCACTAATTTCACTGAAACTTGACTGAAGCTAAGCCAATCAGATGCTTGCAAGAAATTAGTTATCCAAACTTTGTAATGCATACACTTTCAACTGTGTTTAATTATTGAGAATGACAGTTTCTGTTGGAGAACAGAGCAAGTAAAATAAAAGCGAGTCAAAAGATGGAACATTGCAGTATCATTTCAGAAAATTTAGTAAAAGTTACCCAAACTAAGTAAATGATCTTAATTTAGCAACAGACTCAAGAAATCATTATACAAATTCATTTATGATTACATTCTACTTGTCTTTAATTTTCACTGTTCAACATTAACATTAAACATCATAAATGTATGCAATATTTATATAAAATTAAATAACAATATTGAAAAAATAAATACACTTTTACATAAATACATACTGCTGAAAAGTTTCAGCTAATACTATACTCTTGTTTCAAAAGTGACCAAAAAAAATATGGTAGTGACACTCCATCCCGACCGATGAAGTATGTACAGCTACAGAATGGTGTTTGCAACTGATGACAGAGCTAAAGCAAATCCAGGTGATACCACACTAAAGAAAAAAAAGTTTGGACGTTACTACCTACAGTAGTAGCACGAGGTAGACATATATGGGGAGTATTCTGCAGGAGGGACACGAAGCCCTGTTGACCCCATAAATGCAATTCAGTCTTCAAACAGTTCTGGGGTCCCCTACGTGAGAGACATGTGACACCTCGGTAATAAGACCTGAAAAATTAAGTCACTTCGTGGCAATGACCACGGCTCAGCTCTGCAGCCCCTTCACCTGTGGGAGGCCAGGGGGCTGTGCGCCCCGCGGGCAGCCGGGAGGAGATGCTGCAGGCAGGATAGGATGCCCCTGCCCTCTGCCTGCTTGCCCGACATCCCGCTCGCTCCCAGGAGACTGAGCAAGGGACAACCCGCCAAAGTTAATATGACTTAGTAGAGTCAAGGGAATTTTTCCTGGGTGAAAAAAACCAACCCAAAACCAAAATACAGGACTGCATCCTGCATTTCCAACACAGAAGAGCAGACGCAGCCCTGGAGCCTGCTCCTGAACAGCTGTGAAGAGGCCGAATGCTGAGTGACACCAAAATGCAACACAACTCTGTCCACACCTTTGGTTCTTGCAAATGGTCCAGCACAGGTAACAAAGGTTGGCAGCAACTCTCAGCCGGTAATTCTGTGGGAAAGCCACCGCACGGGTTGCTAGCTCTGCTTAGCTCACCTCACTCATTTTTAGCACCAACTATATCAGTGTACAAGTGATACATTAGCACCTCAAATGAAATATTTCATATCACTGTCCCTTGTACTGGTGAAGCACCGCATAAACACCAGTTCAGCACCAGTTCAGCAGTTTTATGGCTATTGCATAACTCACTGAGGTATGGTAAAAATATTGAGGAGCGTTACTGAAGGCATCCGTGTTACTGAAAGCACCCGCAGAAACCAGAGTGCAGTTGTTTTAACAAGATGACTTTTCAAACCATGACAATTAAGAAAGTCCAATACATTACAAACAGGCCTCTTTTTCTCTTTTCCTATAAAGTGCTTTTGAATCAAATTAATTTTTTTTTTTTTTTAAAAAAATCGTCTTCAAATGCTTTTATAGCAAAATACACAATAAAGGTCGACATTTGTTTGAAGGCCACTCCAAAACCGGCAGGTCCGTGGTTTCCAGCATGCCAGAAGCGGCCCAGGAGAGAATTTCAAATCTGTGGGACCCAAAATAGCATCCCAGCCCCCCGGTTCAGGGCTGCTCGGCCCTCACAAGAGCATCTCTGTAGCAGACTCCTCCAGCGGCAAAGGAGCAGCGTAAGACACCTCTGCTCGAAACACTGTTTTGTTATTAGAAAATTCCCAGGGTTTTAAGCCTTCCACCACCTTGCTGATCCCTTGCTGACTTCATGATATCTAGAGCAGCAGCTGGAGATCAGGCCAGACAATAACTCTCCAGAACCAGAGAGATGCACGAGAACAGCTTACAGGTGCCTTTGCACAGTATATCACACTCATATTATATATACACGGGAACAGAAATAGAGCACGGGTGTGAATGCACATGTGTTTCTATATAGCTGTGTGTGGGGGCAGGTAGGGACATGCACACACATCTATACACACTTGTACATGCTTGGGAGTTGATGCAATTTAGTACACGTTTTCCCCTGTCATCTTGGTTTTGGTGGAGAACACGTGACTGGTAAACCAGTAGGTGCACAGTGCAGTATTACCATTAAATATCAGAAAAATTTTAACTTCAATGGAAATGTACTGCTTAAATGTCAGGTTTAAATCCAAAGAACTCAGTCAGAACCAAGACTCACAATGCACAGCGCTCGCAGAGTGTAATAAAACGGACAAAGGTGGCTACTTAGCAGAAAGTGCCTTTTAAATTAAAGGACTCGAGCTCCCCTAATGTAAGCCCTTCCTGAACAGGTGTTATTCTGAATATATTGTCAATAATCCTCTTTAAGTGCAGTTTTAAGACATGAAGCATTAGCACCTTGGTTTGAAGCAAATTAAATCTGTTGTTACAGGATATCCACAAAAGGGTTCACAAAGAGAAAGAGTTTATGGTCGTACCGAGCTCCAAGGACCAGCGCTCCAGGCAGCATCTCTAGGACAGTCCTGCACATTGCACTGCTCTCTGTCCGGTGGCTTGTCAAGGATTTCACAGCTCAGATCCGTAAACCTTTCTCCGTTCGGGCGCTGGCACACCACCAGCCGTGTTCTTGTCCCTGCCCCGCACGGCTTTGTGCACTGGAAGTCAGCAGAGGACAGAGCAATCACCGTCTGGGCAGCAAAAATACTGCCGAGCGGTTGCTCGAAGCACTAGCACCTCTCAAGACCTGATGGCTGTTTCTGTTCCCAACCAACCCACTCCAGCCAGATCCCCCTGAATGCTGTGTGAGCCTCAGATGAGGCATCAGCTGCTTCAGCTCCTCTCTTCCCAAAGCCGTTCGCGCTGCTCCACAATGATACGGCCAGACCCAACGTGATACTGGAGGTTAACATCTCTAATTGCTCCTCTCAGACAAATTTTCAGAAGGGAGCAGTGTTTCTATTAAGAAAAAAGACCTCCACGTAAACTAGACTTCTCTTAAAAAGGAGAAAAAAAAAAATAATTAATTTTTGTAGAATTTGCTTTTGTCTGGGAAGAAAATTTTCCCATGAGAAATGGAAAGGAAAACACCACTGAGCAGTTGCTAGGGTTCACTCATTTATCAGAGGCTGCCTTTCATGCTCCAATCTTTCTAATAAATGTCACCACAATATCCTCTCTTCTCCCATTTTTCAGCCACCCACTAATGAAAGCCTTCTCCTGCACAGGGAGCCCAAGATGAATGGTGCACTCACCTCTCCCCAGTTGCCATAAACCCACTGAGGACAGGGGCCAGATTCGCACGATCTCTGCTCCATGGGTTTGCTTTTTTCATCGCAGTTATTTGCGGTGTATCCGTTTTCATCCTGGCACACCACGACCCGCCGCTGGAACCCTCCCGCACACGTGCTAGAGCACTGGAAGACACAATTGCCCACAGCTTCATCGAGTCCAGGAATAATTTTGCATTCCCAGCTCCCTTCCAGTGCCTTGCACCGTGGGAATGCACCGCTAGAAATGTAATACAGCTAACAGGCATTATTAACTTCAAAACCCAGCTATTACTAATAGCAGCGCGATGACTTAGGTGCTGACTAAACAAAGAAAATAAACACGAGCCTAGTTTTAAGCAGGTGAGTAATCCCCACTGCCTTTAATGCAGTGTTTGACATCCCATTTCTGCTTAATTCCCTTCAGGAACTTCCGTGATAAAGCATTGCAAATTGGTTGGGGTGAGAGGAGCTGGCATTAAGGCTCTACTGTGCTTTGGCAACAGCCCTGCACAGCTGTAAATGTCCCAGGAGACAGCCTAGAAGCAGAGGTTGGCCTTTGCCTCATGGAAAATGATGCCATCAGCTTTCTGCCTGGAGGCCCTCGGAGGTAGGAGGTGCGAGAGGCTGAGAACTACTGTAACACTTGTTCATGTGAGCAGAGAGCAGAAAGTGGGGAGAAGGGTCCCTCTTTTCCCTGTGTGGTGATGTTAAGAAAAGCCTGGATTAGCCCGGGGCAGGGAAACCAAAAACCAAACAGAAATAAGAAAATCAGGGCACTTACAGCACCCCAGGGGCCAATCCTCCACTGATTGCCTCCTGATATATGTGCACGGTTTCGGTTTGGGCTGCCTCCGGGGTGCAGTTTCAGGCGATTATCCGGATAGAGGAAAGGGTGGAGGGGCCTGCCGTAGTCATGGCTGTTTGGATGACAAGGAGACATGGAGCAGTCTTGCTCGGTGGCAGGGAGGTCGTCTGGATCGCACTCACTCCTATCCACCAGCTGGTCACTGTAATTGATGCAGACCACTTGTCGCGTTGCCTTACCTTGACCACAAGTCACCGAGCACTGCATTACAGTGGGAAAAGGAGAGACAGTCACATTTCCAGCTTTGAAAATGAGACAGACAGCTATTGCTAATAATGAACAGCAGAAAACCTTAATCTTCCCAGTTATAAAAGGGCAAGCGTCACAGATTAATGAAACACGTTTCCAGCAATGATGTCTATAAGGCTCTCCTGCAAGAGACAGTGTGATGCTTACAGAGCTCCACTCCAAGGCCTTCCACTGCCCGCATGGCGTCACGGTGCACATTTCTGTGGCTGACGGCTTCGGGAGGTGGAAACAAGCTGACTCGTCGGCCACCGAGCCCTGGTCATCTCGACAGCTGACGTACCTCATCCGGGTACCCTTCCCGCATGTTGCGGAGCACTACGGAAGAGCAACAAGCACTCCACTAGAAAGTTTCCCGATAGATATTACAAGGGCTTTGGAATGAAAAGTTGGCCAAATGCACTTAAAAGTATCACACTGTCTACTGTAAAATAATCCTGAAACTATTATGATAAATGCTTACCGGTGTCCAGGATCCAAATCTCCACTGTGTCCTGTGAATGCCCGATATGGATCTCTTAGCTTCGGGACTATCTGGATGGGGAGGACATGCTGCTATTTCACAGTCCTGTACATGAAATACATGAGGGAAAAGAGGGAAATAAAGAATTTGCAGATATTTCAGTTAAACTACCTCTTCTCCAATGTAATTATCAACAACACACAACATCTTGAAAATCTGTGACCTGCATGCTTGTGTGTTGGCAGGCTTTCTCCTTGTGTCCTCTTGGTGAATCAGCAAAATTTGGTATCAATACCCCAAGGGCTTCATATGCAGAACCTCGTGGATTTTTGACTTCTTCAGAATTCTACAATAGGAATCCCTATAACCATGTGCCACCTCCATGCATTAAAACCAGATGTTTTTGAGGCAAAAGATGAAAGTTCATTAAGAGAGTTCTGGTATGAACACACATCTGCAAAGCAGCACCTTTATCTCCCTTCAAAGCTCCCTTCCTTCAGCGCGAGACCTGCAGCCCACTTAATAAAGGTTATGCTGCTGAGCTGATTGCAGCCTTTTGATTCTCTGCAGCCCACCAGACCACCTATATCCACGTACTGATCTTCGCTACACACTAGGCATGCACGGTTTTGGGGATAGGCATGTCATTCTGCTCAGTCTTGGTACGGTGCCCAATAGGAGGGCTCTGGTCCTGTCTGGACCTCCTGGGAAGTCTGGCAACAGAAATGATGAATAGCCATGACTTTACTCCATGATCCTACGAGTAGTCATTGCCAAAAAGGAAATTAATACTGATCGTCACTGCAAGGGAGAGAGCGGCACTTGACAAATGGCATAAATGATTTCCGCATTGCTGTGATTTTACTTACACTGGAGATGTGCGTGCCAAGCGATGGCTGATGACAAGCGGGTTTGCTACCCCTTGACTGCAGTGCAATTGGTCTCCATACATGGGAAAAACAGCCCTTTCCTAAATGTTGTGGCCTTAGTTAAACTCTGTGAAGTCATGCAGGACTGAAGCTGGGCAGGGCACCAGCACTACAACTTCCCTAGATGACAGATAGATGGTAACGTTCTGCTTTATTCAACTCCTTCAGACACCATGGAAACATCCTCTGCTTGAAATGGGAATTTACATGTTTGCTTCCAAGCACCAGCGAACACAGCACGGAAAGCCTCTTCAGCAAATTTGCAAGGGGTGTGTAATGTTTCTTAATTTATCCGGCCAGGGGGGGGATGCATCTGGAATCATAGCTGGCACATACGCTACATTGTCACATGCAGCAGACAAGAAATGATGGCCCCTGGTCGTCATTAGTACCACACAGCAATGGTCCCGCAGCCAAGTGAGCCCAGGCTGCAGCCAGGCATCCCAGACCCCATGCAAGCCAAAGGAGGTGTACCCTTCTACTCTCTGGTTGTCTTCCCATATTCATCTACTGTCACCTCTTGAGCTCATGAGCTCTTAGAGACCAGCTTTAGCTCTGAATCTGGACAGCCCCTCACACATCCCACCCTATGACTAGAGCTCCATGGATATGAACCATAAGCAAAGGTAATCTTTACCCCATGAAATCTTGATGCCCTCATAACGAGCTGTCCATTGCCTTTTCGGCAATCTGGTGCTTCAGAGCAAAAGGTTAACCACATGGAGAGGGTCTGGATGGGAACTCCCCAAATACAGCTTCTCTGTCCCACCTCTACCAAAACGGGATGCTGTGCTGCACCTCTCCAACAGCCATATAGCAGACCAAGATACTGCTCTGCATGGGCTGACGTTCAGGACAAGCCTTTGCTGCAGCAAGACATCCCCCGAAACTGCAGCCCAGATGCCTCTATATGCACGCTGGCAAAAGATGGAGACAGGACAGCAGGATTTACCTGGGTATCTGTTGGCCTGGTTGCAGCATTACATTCATTATCATCCACCACAGACACGTAGGTGCCCATGACACACTTCACCGCTCTCATCTGGTAGCCTTGGCCACAGGTCATCGTGCACTGGGAGAGGACAGACAGGATAGAGAAGTGCTGGGTCTGAGTAGTTGCTTCGGTTAGAAAGTATTAATCAGCCCAGCCTGTGTTTAGGCACGCAGCATGAACAGCAAAAATAAAACCCAGCTTCCCTTCTGGTTTCCCTCCACTTCATGCATTTCAGCTTTAAATTAGGTCACAGTTTTAATTCACTGTGCCCACCAGTGCCTCACATGCTTCACTTGCTTCCTTGGGAATGAAGGTGCGAGCATTTAAATGACGTACTTTGCTGCACACAGTAAATCATAGTCTGGTAGAACTTGCATTATATCCTCTTTTAAAACTGGTTGTTCAGCCCCATGGTAGCACAAGCGGCTAATGAATAATTTTGCTGATGGGAAATAAGTCTGACTGGGACAACTGGTCTGGGTTTGTTGCCTGTTTTTTAAGTCAAGAGCTAACAGCTTTGTGGAAAACGAGATGCCAGAATGCTCCAGGAGAAATGAGCAACTTGTATTTTAACAGAAAAAAAACCCTTACCAAGCAACAAAAGCTATGCAATGGGAGCAGCTTTTCTTTGAAAATTAGGCCATGTATTTATGCGCCTAAATATGGATTTAGGAGTGTAACCTTGGAAGACCCTTTTTAGAAAATCATGGCCAATTTAGTATGACACAGATTAAATTTAGCACAAAGGGCAGGTACTGTTACTGCTGCCCATCCACTGAACCCAAGCGAACAGAGGGCTGCTTTGGTGTGCAAATCAATTAACACAGTTATGCTGCTGAATCTGGATGAAAGGGTAGCGCCCAGCCTCGGCCACCAGCACCCAGGCCCCACCGGCCGGGAGCCCCGTGACGGCTCTGCAGTACCTGGCCCCACGGCCCCACTTGCCACGAAGCACACTCTTGCTGCTGGCATGTCTGCACCGACTCCGGCTTCGTTTCAGGATCGCAAAACCTGTCGTTTAATCGATCTTCTCCAAACTGGCACCAGGTCTGGCGGTGCTTATGCCCTTTTCCACAGGTGACCAGGCACTGCAAGGAGTAAAGCACAAGCTCAGGCAGTGCCGGGGATGCGCTGCCAGCTCAGCACCTGCCCCGGCGCTGAAAAAGAAACCTGGAGACCTGCTGCGAATCACCGGTTAAAAACTGGTGCCCAGAAGCAGCTATTTAGCTAATGACCACGTACACTGGAAAGCACACGCGTGTCTTGCAATGAGATGGGATTGCCCTCAGGAGCTGGTCCAGAGCAGAGGCTGGAGTGTGGAGAGCACAGCCAGGCTGGGACTCTTCAGCACGGACAAAGCAAGACCATGAAGGCTCTTTGCTTCCAGCAGCTGTGAGATGTAGGGCAATGCCACAGTGCTGCCCGACAGGGCTTTAGCTGTGCACAACGGGGTGCCAAAGGCTTGCAGAAAAACTTGCTTGGCTCTGAGTGTGTGCAATAAGGGTCTCGGCTCCCATGGGCTGTAAGTGCCTCTTCCACTGGCCCGGCATGGCTTGGGCTGGCAGCAGCTTGACCCAGAAGACAGATATTTTGCACAGAACAATCCCTGTTCCTATTTAATTGCTATCATTATTTTCTAAAAGAAAGTGATTCACAGAAATGAGAGCTATTTGGCCACAAAGGTGACAAGCAGCCTTTGAAGACTGTTCTTCTCCAGCACCCCTGGTCCTGCTAGCAACCAAAATAGAGTTTTGTTGCATTGCGAAGGACACCAGCAGCAGTGGAAGAGGTAATGGTAATAAACAGCAGGGAGAGGGCTGAGCAAGATACTAGTAGCGTGAAATCCTGCCCTCCAGCGACAGCCAGAGCTGCCGGGGCTCCTGAGGACAATCTCAAGGGAAAACGAGGGCAGAAGGTATTTTTCTTCCCAAAACTGCGGAGGAACCGTGGAAAAACTGAGGAGAAATTACTGCAGGATTGGAGAGGAATTAACCTCTTGTGGCTCTGCAGAGGGATCAGCCACTTGACCAGTGGTTGCCAGGCTATGCAAACAAAACCCGAGGGATGAGCAGGGACAAAGAGATCTCTTTGCAGGCACTAGCCCCTCAAGGTGGGGGACCAGCGGGGCGAGCCCACCGTGGTGACCAGCACCTACCTCCGACCAGTCGCCAGTTTTCCACTGGGGGCACAAGAAGTCGCTGCATCGCTGCACCGTCAGCTTCTCCTGCTGACTGCACTTGCTGTCGTCCAGGATGTCGTTGTAGGTGTTCACGCACATGGCTCGCCGCCGCCGCGCTCCCCCGCCGCAGCTCTTGGAGCACTGGGAAGGAGACACACTGCGTAAATACTTTCTGCCTCTCTATTACAGGCAGAGAGCCCATTTATTGCCTTCTCCCTCCTTGCAGTTAGGACTGTGAAGAGACTGCAGAAAACCTCCGGAAGAACAATTTGTGCTTTAAATAACAGGCTGTTACTTTATATATTCCTTTAAAAATCCAATCTTGCTAAGCTTAATAAAATCTCATGGCAATGAGTTTCACAAATTCATTTCAGGTTATAACCCCATTATTACTTTTACAAGTGTTGCCTTTCAGTTCTCAAAAATGGCTGTTGCTTGTTCTCATTTTAGGAGAAATTAAATCTCTCTAACCAGGCAGCCCCCCTACACCGTGCCCTCCCTGTAAAGGCCCAGGCTCGTCATTCTCTCAGTGCTAGGTCTGCATTCAGGAATATTCTTGCCCATGGAAAAGTATTCTGCTAAAAAGTGTAAAGGAAACAAATTTCAGAAGTCCTCCACTGACAGTAACACATCCTCCTGGCTCCTGCCAGTGGGGCTGGCTGTGATGGGAGAAGACAGCCAGCAGAGCTCAGCCTAAAGAAGACAGACCTTGGGATGCTTAAAAGTGTAAATTCATTGCAGTGGAAAATGAGGAGTACCAGGCTGATCCGACTACAGTGTCCTCTAGAAAAAGCAATGAAGCAATGGAAGCAGAATCACTGTGGCCAACTTTTATACGCTGTATGCAACCTAAACAGCCTGACAGCCCCATGCGAGGAGAAGACAGTGTCTGTCGTATCGCTGAGCATCCCTTACCTCAGTCCAGGCTGAGTACCGCCATCCTCCGACGTTACAGTCCCCAGTGCACTTCTCCCTCGTGCTCGGCTTGGGCTGACTGTTGCAGAAGCGGTCGTCGACCTTCTCTATCTTCCCCTCCAGCCTGTTGTACTTGGAGCAGTAGATCTCCAGGGTGCGGTACCCCAGCCCACACTGGGCCGTGCACTCGCTCTTCCTCGCGACGTGCCACCTGAGCCGAGAAGAGCAAATGTCAGCCCTGGTGCAGCAAAAACCCACGACCCCGCGTGAAGACACCTGCTTTGGAGAGGATCAGAAGAGGTGGAAAGAGCTGTGGGGCTCTGGGACTCTGCAGGTAACATGCTCAGGGGTGTTTGACATACATAGGGAAGATACGCTGTTGAAATGGAAGTTTTGGCTGTTTACGGCACTTCCCAAAGCTTTGTGACTTCCAAAAATATGAAGGAATTAACCCTGGCCTTGTTCCCTGTGGGGAAGGAACTGTCACCAGGTCCCTCTTATGGGCAGCAAAGCCACACTGTGACCCTGCGGGACCACGCGAGGCAGCGGGGGGAGTCCATGGCCAAGCAAGGAGCAGCGCTTTGAAGGCTTTCTGCCCCACGTTCCCCTGCAGGAGTGCCACCACGGCCTCTAAAAACGAAAAGCTGAAAAATACAGCGTCAGAAAACGATCCGCACAGGCTTGAAAGGTGTGACAAGGCACTCCACACAGCAGGACGCCTGCAAAACAGTTTCAGCTCTCCAAAGTGTGAGCAAATGACTTGCTCCAAGACACATGAGCCCAGGGGTGTCAGCAGGGATTAGGGGTGTTCCCTCTGGACAGACAGACTCCCACCCTGGTGCCTCCTTCCTGAGATGGGCAGCAAGGGCCGGTGCTGGTGGCCCTCAAGGATCCCCATGAGGATACAGTCCTGTTTTACATCAGCCCCAGCTCCGGCAAGAGATGCTGGACACAAGGCCCGATCCAGGGAGATGTTGGAGACACTGGAGCCCACAGGAGCTGATTGCCCCCCGTGCCTCGTGGGGTGGCTCCCGGGGATGGAGGCAGTGATGTCCCCTGTGGGTCCTGGAGACCCCCGGGCTGTTACAAGTGCCTGTGCAGGGAGTGCAGAGCCCCGCTCCTAAGCTGAGAAAGCAAACTTCAGCACAGCTAGGAGAAGAATAAGATCAAGGGGATTTGGAATCAATAGCTCCTGAATGGCGGGAGCCCTCACATCCCTGCCTGCTTTTCAAACTCCTGCTTTTGCCCTTCTCAAGTTTCCAACCTGTTGCAATGGCAACAGCTGTTACCTCGACAACCCGACCTACAGCCCCTATATAGCCCCTATACAGCCCCGGGTTTAACACAGCCAGAGAAACCCCTCGGGAAGCACGGCCATCTGAATTGCTTCACCAGCAGCCGTTTAATGCTACCGTATTTAAGCTCCAGAAAGGAAAACAGATTGCTTTTTAAAGGAAAATGGGTTGTAATGATTTAAGCCATGCTCCATCAATTCCAGCTCGCCAGGAGTTGTCTGGGGACAGCCTCAAACCCACTCTATACTTAAGCCTATTCTTCGCTTTAAGCAAATGATGATAAATCCAAGTCTTAGTTACTCCTTTGCTTTGAGCCTATGCTTTTCCTTCTTTGCAGGCTGTTTGTAGGATAGTGCTGAGCATTTCTGATCCAGGCAGATGCGAATTTCAGGCACTGTATTGCACAGGGAGATTTTTCAACATTAGGTGAATTTTTTTTTATAGTTCGCACTAATTTAATCCAACAAGAGAAATGTGAAAACATAGAAAAGTGTCTCTCAAAACACAGCTGCTCCATGCCATCCCTCTTGGTTGACAAAGAGGCAACTGCTAATCCTTTTCTTTTTTTAAATCTAATACAGTCTGGTGAGGAAAGGAATTATGGTGAGTGGTGAAAGGAAAGAGGAGCAAACAATAAATATACGATGTAATGTATATACACGGCTGAGTAGAGTGCACCTTAATTCGCATTCTGTGCTACAAGGCTCAGTGATGGGGTCAGGCTGGGGAAGTCGATCACATCTTTGGTCCGACACCGTGAGTTGATCCGACTCTCTCGTACACACAGGTTTCCTTTTTCGTTCTCCTACACAGAAAAAAAAAATGTGTTGTTTGAGTCACACAGGAAAGCGATCAAATCAGTTATTTCTCTTACTCCTTTTTTAGTAGCAACTAAGAGACATTTAATTATGCTTTTAAATCTCTCTCAGAAACAGGGAGGGGGTTAAGACTCTCTAAGAAGAGCAGAAGGGGTTTAACGCAGACGAGATGGACACAGGCAGAGAGCAGCAGCATGCGGGCAAGGACGGGCTCTGCGTGTTTCACAGGTGGGAACGACTGGATGTCAGACCCAAAACCAGACACCGATACCTTTTGCAGCCTTAGGAAATGCCACGTAACCTTTTCTGCGCTTGAGCTTCCTCACCTGCAAACCAGGTTGCAAGGCTTACCTGGCTCCGAGGGGCTGTAAAGATGCCCTGCTCTGAAACTGAGAAGCAGCAGAGCAGTGCTACACCTCATACGATGTTATCTACTACTACAGCCTGGGGAAACAATCACGCCCATAACGTCAGCATCTCAAAGTGATCAAATGGAGAGGGATTTGACAACACTGCCCAGATCCCAGACGAATCCAGGACAAAACTAAGCCTTCCCAAGCACCCACCTTGGCAGAGCTTACTGCAGGGCTGCCACGGGCCATATGCATTCCAGTAAAACTGCTGAGGTTTGTCCTCAATGGGGATATTAAATGTGTAACGAACGTCAGGATTGTACAAATTGCCCACTGATAAAACCTGAGAGGAAGAAAGATGAAGCAGAGTAAACCAACAGACTTCACTGCCCACTGTTTTCAGTCCAATAATGCTGGGCAGACTTTTCCACATGCACAACATATACTTCACCTGAAGCGTTATTTCTTGCTCAATCCGATCTGTAGAATTAATCCTTTCAATAGTATTATCCGATCCACTGTATTCGATCACAGCATTCCCAACTTTGATTTCCCTTTTAAACATACTGACGACAAAGTCTCCATTTAATATAAAGTCTCCTTGACTGTTAGATAAGGCTGCATAGGTGCAAAAAACAAGAACTAAAGACGCAGAATTAACTCGTATGTACATAATAACGTGGGTCATGCGCTCTCAGTGCTGCTTTTCATTGGGGTGGGAGGAAAAACCCACTGGCACTCTCAAACAGAAAGGATGCAGAGAGCAGCAGAGCTCTTACAGACATTGCGCCTTCTCCTTTTTCCACCGGAGAGCCGCATTAAAACGAAGGCTGAATGCCTGAAGTTGTTGCTAAATATTTCACCCAGAACCCAGGGCAGAGAGATACCCAAAAGGCATGCCAGGTCGGCTGCTGTACACAGAACACACAGTCTGTATCCCCACGTATACTGCAGAAATAATCCTGCCCAAATCTTTCTGTTAGCCGGGCGGATAGGGTGGCTTCCCTGTTGTTTCCAGGTGTGTTCTTAGGGTAAATGCATGTACCCTAATTGCCCAACCATCATTTTCTAGTAGATAATTACAGGGAGTTTGGTCAGTATCTCCCCCTCTCTCGCTCTCCCTCCTCCCCCCATACTTTTTATTATTCCAAATCTTAAGGTATGTGAAAGGACTGAAGGCTTAAAGCCTAAATGCTTTATAAAAGGAACAGTTTCCTGAAAACAGCAGTCTGCTGCACAACTTCACACTAATGCGATTATGTAGCTAATTTCCTAAGTTAGTTTCCCCACCATTTCACCCATCACAGCTACATTACTACAAAGCCTCTGTACTGAAAAATCTAAACTTAACACCAAAACACCAAAGGGAGGGTTTTTACACCGAATGAGGAGAGATAATGAAGCAAAACACTGCTCGGTAGCAAACAGACACAGATGGAGAAAAACTCACAAAGCAGACGCTATACTCAACCAAATTCCACACTTCGGAGGCTTTAATGTTATTAAGCAGTAGTAAAACTTATTAAAGGATTCCTTCCCGTTTACTGTATCTCCTACAACAGTAGGTACCTGTCTTGGACTTGATGACAACATGAAATTCCTCCTAAATTGTTAAGCAACTACAAGGTTCACAGTACTGAGGGCCCAAGATTTCACACTCAGTGAGCTGCAAAATAAGTGGACACATGCACGCTTCTCATTTGCTTCTAGTCAGGCCTAATGTGAAGAGATGCTTTCCCAGCAATATTAAAGCAACATTAAAGAAGACTTGACTTTATTGCTTCCCAAGAAGATTAAAGGCCCTCCAAGAAGAGCTGAGAAGTTCTTTGGGGCTCCTTCTGGGGTGAAGCAGTTTGAATAGGCACAACACAGGGAGGACTGTTTTTCTGGAAAAGATGAATAATGAAATGTATCTTCCTCCCCCAGGGTGTAAAACTATCACTCCTCAGTAAGATTTTCTTGGTTTGGATGTGCATTCGTGCTGCACCATCTCATTCGTTGTTGTGAACGCGCAGAAACGATGCAAGGCGGCTGTAAGCGACCGGCTGTGTGCACGCAGGGACAGGCAGCCTTGCAGGACCCCAGTCTGGGAATGAGGACAAGGAGGACCCGCTCAGCTTTTTGCTTGAATGAAGGGTCCAGCCATAGGGATGGCATGTCAGAGCGACAGCCAAAGCTGTCAGCACCATTTCCCTTTGGTGCACGACAGTCTCCTCTACTTGTTTCTCAGGTGAGTTCCTTTACCTTCAACGGGCTAGGAACCACCAGCCTAGTCCTGTTTTTAACATACCCAGTTACAGCGAGCACTTAGGCTAAGCCCCATATTTTGCAAAAACACTCAACAGCTCTGGGATTTTGCAAGATGAAACAAGATGAAGTGCCCTGCTCAGGGATGTAAATACGGGACCCCATGCTACCGGAGCGCGGCTGGCGGTGCCAGGCACGGGGCGTGCAAAAGAGAAGCAACAGAGCTGGGAGAGCAGCCGGGGACTGCAAGGGGCCACAGCCCGAGTCCCTGCTCCACCAGCAGCCCGAACAGACTCTGAGGAACCCAAACAGGACTTAATGGCAAAACCAGCCTTCGACTGGCAGGTGTAACATCAGTCATAATGTGCATGTGTGTTATCTCCACTATTGAACCCAAACAGAACTCTCTGTGGGGTGAAGCACTGATCAGAATGGTGGAAGAGAGACACACGGTCATGCTAAAAGCATATGTGTGCACAGCAGACTGGTCTAACACAGCACCACAAGCATTTTCGTTTGCCTCTAGAGACATGCCCACAGATTAGAGAAAACAGTGACTATGAATGTCCAACAGCCAAAGGCCAAGTTATTGTTAGGTTTAAATCAAACCAACATCTTTGGTGCAGGGTATTTCTTTACAGTTACATATCACTGTCAGACAGGGACAAGAAGGGTTCAGTCTAAGTGAAATCAGAATTATTATTCTCAGAGGAATAGAAAATAATTTCTCTTTGGATTTGTTTGTACACGTCTTTCAGGGTATGGCATATTTATTCTCCTGCCAAGACACGGTGACAGCAGAGACGTGTTAAGTTGTGATGAGGAGACCCCAACAGAACTCAGAAGCCTGTTTGGTTCCCAGCTTTGTGCCTCAGCTCCCACCCACAGCCCAGGCTCGATAGTCCTTCCCAGCCCCAGAGACACTCTAAGGGGATATTTCTTATAATCTGTGAACCTCCCAAACTTTGCATCAAGGATGGCATGAACCAAGAAAAGGCTGAGTGTTTGGTAGATATATGAGATAAATTCTCAATAAGAAAACATCTCCCTTAAATGAATTCTTCATCCTCCCTAGCAGAGAGCAGCCAGTAGACACATCACCAAAACCAGACAACAAAGCAGGGTTCTGGACTGAAACAAGGACTGCAACTCACCCAGGTAGTTGTCATCCTCTGGTTTCCCTGAGTAACTGTGCTGACGCACATCAATATTAGTTGCACCAGCTGGGATGCGGACCACGACGTTATAGCCTAGAAAAGATTTAACAGAAAGTCAAGGCTATTACAGAGACATTTCATTCGCTTTTTACGGGGGGAAGGGAAATGAGCAAAATTACCTCACATTACACAAGCCGACACTTTTCATTTAGGGATAGTATAAATAGTTATAAAATGGAATATGCTATAGCTAGAAGGATTTTGCATTTTACATTAGTGCTTTTGTAGATTAAGTATGGTAATGGCTTTTATAGACCTGCATTTTTCACTATAAAGTTTTTAGCAACAGATTCTTACCATAATGCACCGTGTTAAATGTGCCTGCAACAGTTTTGCATGAAGAATTATCCCCACCACAAACACCACATTTATCTCTTCTTGCTTTTGAATTCAGCACATGATCGCATCCAGCTTGCTTTAAGAGAAAAATTGAAAAAACTAGATTGAGCAAATACAGACTAGAACAGCATTTACAAACCTCCCAATTAAGGCACACAAAAGCTTTGTATGCAAAAGGCTGCCGTGAGACAAATTGTTTTGCTTCCCCACATTTTTCTGCTGATTTACAGTGTGGCCATCCCACACCATTTTCAAACAAAAGGCTTTTTTACAAAGTGAGAATCAGAACTGCCACTTGCATCAGGCGATGCCTTGCTAGAGAAAAATTTTGCATTGGTTGTTCCCATAGAGAAAAGTGTGAAAAAATAATTGTGAATGGAAATGTAAAGTGCTCCAGGCTCTGACTGGGAAGAACTGGGGCAGAGCACAGAAGTAAGCATCACTTGGATTCAGTCTCAGATCTCCACAGCCCTCAGTAACTTAGGGCAGACGTACAGACATCCCCCACGCGTGGCTCTTCTGCAAATCTGGAGGTTGGCACAAGCTTCAGACCAGCCGAGGCTCATGGAGCCTGCGGATGCTGCCAGCAGCCCCCGAGCAAAGAGGACAGGCTGACAACCAGGTAGAGCAAGGTGCAGAAGTGCCATCCTGCCACGCAAAACTGCAATCACCCTCGCTTAAGAGAAGGGAAAATACTTACCCGGCAAAGGCCCTGCACACAGATGTCATTTGTGTCAGGGCCGCAGGGCGTCCCGTCGATGACGCGATCCCGCAGCTGGTAATATGCCGTGTTTCCCGCCACTCGGCAGAACAACTTGCACCGATCCTTCATCAGGACTGGGGATGGGAGGGAGGAAAACCAGAAGCACGTTATCCAAACGCCATCACCCCGACACGGTGATGTGGGAGGCAGGATCTGCATCCCCCCTGCCACTTACTGCCGCTGTATTTGGGAACCCAGCGCACGTTCGTGGGCAGCCCGTTGATGTTAAAATGCTTCCCATCGAAGTCAGCACACTGCTCATCCCGGAAATCCTTCTTCAGCTTCGAGCACGGTTCGGTGTTGCAGGATTTAAACTTCATGCGACGACCCACGCAGTATTTCCCACCGTTTTTAGGCCTGCAGAAACAAGAAAGAGAAGCCAGCTGGGATCGGGCTGGAAACGAGATGCCATTGCAGTTCTGCAACCTGTTCAGCACAGTCAGTATTTGCGACACCATTTTGATGGCTCTGTCTATGTCTACGCCTGCCTTCTCATTAATAACCTAGGCTGAGAAGCAGGAAAGATTATGCAGGTGTCTAATAAAAAAGACCGTATATGGGATGCTAAAAAGGGATGAAAAAGGGAATATTTGCTCTCTGATGAATTCAGTGGTAATGAAAGAAGCCAGAGAGGAAGAGCAACATCTTCTTCCCCATCTGAAGATTTAGTTTCACACTGAGGGATCCCATACGGGGGGACCAGCCCTCCACAACCCCATCGGTCCTATGGATTTGGTGGCTGAGAGTTTGCATCTGATCTAGTGGGTTGCACATAACTAAACATCACGGCAGAAAAGAGAAAGGGTTTCCCTGTGGAGGCTGAAAGGCCAGGCAGCACCTAGTCCTTCAGGATTTCTAGCCCAGAATGGTAGAAAGGGTAATGCTAGACACTTTAAAACAACTTTATCTCCATGTATTCCAGAAAGCACCAAAGACGGCCAACAAATACTTTACCCCATTTTATAGTAGGATGACTCTGGTATAAACTGGAGAGAGTGATATCATCCGAGCTACATAAAAGCCAGTGGATAAGCCTAGGAGAAACTGTCATTCTGAATTTCCCGACTCCCAGATTCAGGGCTGTAGTCATAAAACTATTTTTGTCCTCGTATGTAGACGGAGCCTTTGCCAGATAACAGCTCACTTTGGGGACCAAAAAGGCCTCTCCCACTCCAGCCGCTGTCAGCAGCGGTGTGGGAGCGAGCTGCACGTGGACAGCATCGGAGGAGCCCAGCAGAGGCACTTTTCTGGTGAGGACTCATTTTCAGCTACGGTAATGCTGCGAGGAAAGTACCCTTGGGATACAAGCTGTCCTATTTACTGTCTGTTCAAAGGACATTTCTTCTAGGAACTCGGGTAAGATTTCATATGCCCATCTATGTGCAGCCCTCTATGTATATAATAAATTGTAATAATAAAATAAAAAAGGATGCACCGTGCCTTAAATGTTCCAAAAACCCCACCGTCTCTATTGCTCTCTCCTGGAACTTCAAATGAAATTAGGAGGGCATAGTGGAGGCTTCTACAAGCTACCACCATTAATATCCATAATAAAAACTGCAGTGCCACCCAAGCAGCTTTGCTTTTCCCTGATGTTACAGAAGGAAAGATTGCAAGCTGCATGAAATGTTGCCAGGGTCAACTTGGGCAAAGCTGTAATTATCCAAAAAGGAAAAATTATAGCAACTAAGACCCACACTCAAGGGAGATGAAGTTAACATGCATCTCGGCCATCAGCACGGGAAAGGCTCCAGCAACTGAGATTAGCCCCAGCCTCTCCCTTTAACAGACCAGTTTAACAGAGGAGTCAGCAGAGGGCAAGAGCATCCTGAGCGGCCAGAGCCACCATGTCCTGACCGCGTTGTGCCGCTGGACGTGCACAGAGGCAGAGAGTGGCCCTTGAAGCTCAGGACAACATCTGTGCCCAGCTCCAGCCTCTGCTAGAAAATAATCACTAAACCTACATCTTCTACCCAATCCCTGAACAAAAGAAGTGCCTGCACTAGCAAGAAGTGCAGATCAGAAAAGTGCCTCGCCGGGCGCTGAAGACCTGGCATCCACACCTCCTGCCTTTCAGGGCTTTTCTTCAGGATCGGCTCTGCCTCACCCCAGGACCAGATGCCCATCAGTGCCCCAGGGATGCTGGCAGAGTGCATCTTCCCTTTGAGCCTCCTTGGGAAAGAAGCTCGTTTGCACACGTGGAGACCCTCAAAAATGCAAAACAACAAGTGATAAACAGGAACCACCCCTGCCCTTAGCACGGAGATACCTAATGTAAGCTCTCCACATTGCATGCAGCCAGCATCTCCTAACATAACAGAGAGAAACCCCCTGCACATACACGAGGGTCTCTACACACAGTGAGTCAACAAGTTCCTACAGCTGAACGCAATTTTTTTAGCATCTCTGCACATCAACCACCCATCAGTGCCTTTTCTCCACAAATAATTCTTCACTCTTAGGTACAAAAACTATTTGTGACTCAAGTAGCAGAGTTCCTGTGAAATAAATGGGGAGACAGCGGCACAAAGAGGGGCTTGCGCTTGCGAAAAGATTACCTGCAAAGTGGGGAAGGGCAGGCAGACTTCTGACCACCCCATCAGCACCACGCTAGGGATGCTCGCAGGTTTGGCAGAAGGAGTTGCCTCCTCCAGCAGCTGCGGGCGAGATGCAGAGCACCACCAGCTACACACATGGGATTTTTCCCTGCCAGCATCCTCTCCTCATTGAGATACGCGTGGTTGTGGTGCAGATCCCTCCAGTCCTATCTTAAATGCCGCAGGGTATGATTTGTCTTCAGGCACAGCCTGGAGCCATAGCTGGTAACACATCAGCTCTACCTGCTCCGAGTGCGACTCTCACGTGCCATCTGGAAACTAAACGTGTGTCACTTGCAAAGGTGCTTGCAATTAGGCAAGTAACAGTGCTAAAAAGGCCAACCAACCGCACAGCGCCCGGTGCAGATTTCAGTTTACAGCCTGATTTCACACCAGTTCCTAGTGGAGCAAGTCTAAACGCAGTTTGTACTGATTTAGTCTGTTCTCCACCATGGTATGACAAACAACTTGGATTAATTTAACTGATGATACTTGGGACCACTCCAGAGCTAACCCATCACAACAGCCCCTGCGGATGCCTCCCCGACTCCCCCTGCCTCGCAGGCTCAACAGTGATTGCTGGGGGTTTCCCACCGCTGGAGCCCATCCCGTGGACTATTCCCATGCAGGCACATTATCTACCTCCAGCTACAATGGGACATCTCGACCATCCCACTACACAGCACACGGCGAAACTTCTTAGCTGTGGCAGCAGCATGCTCCAGACCTCGGTGAGCTCAAATCATTCATGGGGGAGTTAACAGGATTCATCATTTTCACTTTGAAAGCATTTATACCGCAGCAGGACTACTGCAGTTTTACAAAGGCTCTAAATTATGCAAACTTCCAGCAGGGCGTTTCTTTAAAAAAATTGCAATTACAACATTGTTATGGTAAACACATTGCTTCCAATATAAATCAATTTCATTAAAATGAGACTTTAAAATATTAAGTTAGCTAAGAAGAACATGCAGGAGCCTTCTTTTTTTTTCAGGGTATGTCTAACAAAATCCAAAGATCCCAAGCTACTGTATAGTTTCCTTTTCTCTAGACATGACCCGTGAGACTGAGATAACATGGAAAACATGGACACACCACAGACTGAAGGATGCTAAAACTTGCCGTCGTGTTGCAAACTATCAGCTTTGTAACTGTGGCAGTAAATCTCCCCGCAGCCAGCGTTCAGGGCTGAAGCACACTCACGCTTCTGACATTTCAAAACAGCCCCAAACCACCCTGACAGTTGTAGGGTGTTTGTAAACCAGCATTGTTTTTCACGGAGTCTGAATAAACAGAAAGAGCTGACCCGGAAAAATAAGTCAGCCTCATATAACATCGATTTTCAGTGTCATGAAGAAATATGGGATACTTCACGCTACGTAATATTTTTATGGATAATCATCAACGATGTACCGCAGAGATGGAAGGGAAAGCAGTGCATGCATAGAAACCTCCTTGTTCTGTTTTGATTAACCTTCTCTCTGAATCACCTGTTTGATCAACAAATGGCCAGCGTGGATCCGCTTTCTATCTGGCATCGTTCCCCTTAAAACCTCCCGCGCACACCCTGACTTTGCTGCATTCCTCCCAGCACGTCTTAAATATGCAATGCTTAATGCGTCACCTGCCATTACTAACCTTGAATATTTTCATGTGCAGAGCTCGAGGCAGCACCCAACTCTCAGTGCCCCAGGAGCACCAGGTAGAGGCACCTCGCTGAGAAGCACAGTTTTGGGGGTGCTTTGCACGTGCTTAGCCCCAAGGGCAGCAGCTCTGGCCAGGGCACTCAGGCTGCCACAACGAAAGGACCCTGGAGACCAACTACAGGGCACACGTGTTCATCTGCATGCCTACCTACGTGCCTGCGCTCATGCAGTGACTGCAGAAAAATCTGTGAAGCCCTAGCATGCACAAATAAGCCTGAGCTCTCCTTTGCAGCATCCCGGGAAGCCCTGGGACCGAGAATTGGTACATGTGCTGCCAGTGGCCAGCACAGTTATCTATAGATGTGCTTACATGTCAAGCTCAGACAGCTTTCAGTACAGGTGGATACTTCTGTGATGGACTAAAATGCAGACGTGATCAGACTTGCATCCAGGGATAACACTCCCCCATCCAGAAAGTCATTCCTGAAAACAGGGCTCCTGGCATTGACATCTTATGAAATACGCCTTTTCCCCATAACTCTGTAGCTATGCCTTGCTTTGAAAACCAGGGCTTGCACCACAGACCCTCTACGTGATGCGCCGCAGCCATAGGCTTTGTCTGTACCAGCCAGCCTCGAATTCCCAAGTGGGCAATCTCGGTGGGAAGGGTCTGGTCTGGTTAGCTAATACATTCCTTCGGTGTATGTCAAAACACAGCCTGCTGCCATTTCAGAGGCTTACAGCTCTTCCTACAGCCCTGCAAGATATTCATCCACATAGGTGTCAGAGCACATTACAAACAGTGGCAGGAGCTGCAGCCTTATTTTCTGTACCATGGCAGGGGGGTTCATTTTCAATGCCAGATTTAACACAATGTTTTATTGGCATGCAAGATACTGCCCCAGATACTTGTGCACAGAAAAAGCTTTAAGAAGCTAAACCATCTTCGAATATAAAAGATTTATTGAAAACTACTTCAGACCTTACTCAAGGTACCTGGGTTAGTTTTCCTGCCTTCTACAACAGAGGAGAAACAGAGACTAGACCTATTTTGTGTATTTTTGAAGTACTTTGAAAAGTGGGAGAAACAGGAGAGTACCCAGCAGCGTCTCATCCACTTGCATCATGTCAGCAGCCCCACAATAACAGGGACGCAGATGGTGGCAGCCCACACTACGATGTCAAATTACAGGGACAAAACAACAAAGTCTGTGTAAAGCTCTGTGGACGGTGCTGGGACAGACAACTCCCCACGGAGACTTTGCAAGGGGATGGAGAAGAGGCCAGTGCCAGATACATGGCCCTCAAAAGGGGGCCTGGAAACTAACCACTATTAATGATAGCGCAGGGGATTTCACAGGCAGCTTGGTGCCTAGTGTATTTAGGTGCTTTTGCAAATCCCAGCCAAAGTAATACACCTCACGAAACACCAAGATACAAAACACAAGCTATAAGGGAAGATGGAATTTAAGATCCCTTGGCTAGCCTTTAGGATAAAGGAGATTTTCTATCACAAAGAGCTATCAGTCCGAACAGATGCCTCTCCAGAAGACGGGAATACATCTCACTGACAGCATCCAAAGGTTTGGCAGCATAGCTATTTTTGCGTGTGGAAAGATATTTTGGTTTTGCGTCTCCATGGCTACTAGAAGACCATATGGCGTGTGCTGACTCAGCACAGCGAGACGAGAACTCCTTTATGCTTGTGTGTTTCTCAGCATCATTTTAATTAACACGCTGGTGTCCGATGCCCTTAGCCTCAACCCTTCTCTTCTCTTTCGACCCTTGCCTAGCCGTGCTGAGCCAGCCTCTCCTGTCACTTTACTGGTGCCGCAGGTACAAGCTCTCCCTTCTCCCATTAGCTGTGATGAAACTGTCACTGGTGCATCACTAATGGCAATTTCCTTGGCAATAAGCTGTCCAACACCAATGATGAGAAAGGGGAACAAGCCTGCTCAATCTTTTTAAGACCCCTTGGTCCACCCAGCTCCGCAGACCCCTCTCCTCTCCGTGTCTTAGTCCCAAATGAGAGCCTGGAAAGCATCCTGCCCACCCCTTCTTGCTCTCCTGGGCTGAAACGAGGCAGCTAAACAATTTATGTAAACAGGCTGTTTTCATACCCGTTGCTCAATCTATTACTAATATTTTGCTGGCCACACATTCGTTTCCTTGAAGCCCACGGCAAAATTCCCTCCCATTTCAAAGGGTGTAGGATTTTGCATTCCAGGCTGATGGCAAACATTTTTGAGTGCCACTTTTTAATGGGACGCAGATTTCTGCTGAGGTTTGGCTAGTCTGCACCAGCTGACATGTAACTGTATAAAGCATCAGCTGCAAAATCAGTCAAAGCAGGAGTAAAATGGTAGAAAACTGTATAAAGGATCTGGCCTGTAGGAACAGCTGCAAAAGCAGCCAAAGCAGGGGTAAAATGGTGAAAAATGGATAAAACCATGGGTCCTTCCCTTCTCCCTCCTTTTTGATCCACAACTTTGGAGGAAGAAAAACACCTTTGGAAGTGGGACCCCAGCTGCACCTCCCCAGGAAAACAGCAGGCAACAAACCCATGCAGATATTAGCTTTTTCCTTCTCTCTCCATTGAACAGATCCCTTTTTAGGGCACTTTGCCCACAAACCAAACCCGTGACTGGCTCCTCCTGGGTTCCCATGCCGTGCCAGGCAAAGCCACCCGTCCCTGGGGCACACATGGGCTGGGGACAGCCAGAGGGGACTTCAGCCCATTTGGGCAACCCAGCTGCTTTTCCCCATTTCACCGACCGGCGCTTCCCCTCTGTGCACTTACTCGGGCCTGTTACACTCTCGTATCGCCGTCTTTATGCCACCACCACAGGTTCTTGAGCAGGTCCCAAAAGGGCTCCATGTCCCCCACGCTCCGTCTATCACCGGCGCCTCTCGTTCTTTGGGCACGCACATCCCAAACCGGCAGTGCTGCATGCAAAGGAGAGAGACGGGAAAGGTGGGTTTGCATTGCTTTTGCATTACGAGCCGACCAACAGTGACCAGCCTGGACGACAAGACTCAAGCTTACTTATTTTTCAGTCATATGCAAAACGCAGCAAAGATTTTGCAATCAAATAAAATTGAACTTCTTTACTTTTTGTCTGTCACCCCCATGTTTTTCTTTCTCTGCACTCTTAAATGGAGAATTGAAGGCAAGGTGCTGAGTCCACAGGAGTGATTTATGGGAAGACGACTGAGGACAACAGCAACCACCGAATATTCCCTGTTTACTGGAGCCGAACAGCACGGCAACGCTCGCGGCATTGGCTTTTCAAAAAGCTGCTTATGTGATTTCCTGGAGAGCAGCAAGAACCGCACAGCATCAGGGGGGAGACAGGCAATGGGGAAAACACCATGGAAAACTCAAACCTCCCCCCAGCTGTACAAAGCAGGAAAGGAAACTTCCAAATCCAAAGGGCAAATAAAATAGAAAAATGAATTCCTCAATCCAAAATATTTTTTTTCACTCAGCCATAACATGGGACTTGCCAAGGCCTGGCCTACGCTTTTGTTTTCCAGCTATAACTCTTGTTTTCTTTTGTTTGGAAAACTGGCTTAAATTATCTTGGCAAGCCCCTGTCCCCCATTTTTGTGGTATCAATTGTGTCCCTTTGGGGTATGTTTGCTAGTTTGACTACACAGACTTCTGGAGAGGTGAGACCTAGGGGACAGTCACCTTCTGGCCCCACCAGAGTGGCTGGAAAAGTGTCCCCAAGACTCGTGAGAGCAGGGCTTCCCTCTCACTGAACACTGCTCACTAAAGCAGGTTTAAACCCAGAGACATGCTCATCTGCTGGTGGATGCCTAAATCTTTGCAATTATAGGAAGCCCAAACATTGCTGATTGCTCACAGATTAGAAGAGGTTATAGAGTTAAAAAAGAAAACATGTAGTGCATCATTAAAATGTTCCCTTGCAATATTTCTCTGCACCAGATACTGTTCAGGCAGGGAAACACCTGATGATCTTTATGGCAACAGGCTCAAATTTACCAATGTGCCGTGGTTTTCCAGCCCTTCCACTAATACCAGAACAAGGTTGTATCAAGACACGCCATAAGGTCACCCCCTGCCTTTTAGACATCCTTATGAATCACCTTAGAGAAAGCTATCTAGGAAAACAGAGCAAAATCAAGCTATCATAGGACACTGGCTCTGCAGTAGGTTTAACACCTTTTGCCCACGATGGCCAGCTTGCCACATTGCTTTGCTGATGAAGAAAGCTGATCTCAGGTGCATTTGCCTACGGGCATGGTTTCCAGGACAGCTGAACAACTTGTAGCTTGGGCCCTAAATGTGGTGTTTGCTCAGAGATGAGCACAGTCTCTAGGCTGCAATGTGCCCTGAATTTGCTTTCATCTGAAGATTTGATTCCCCAGATAGAAACTGGCTGAAAAATATCTGCTACAGTAAAGAACAGGAATAAAATAAGCTGAAATGCCTGTTTCTTTGCTGCAGGACAAACCCTTATGATGCACAACTACTCCTGGCATTTAGGGGGTTGAAAAACTGCAGGATGGGGACCCCATGCCAGTCCTGTACAGGGACAAAGTGGTGCAAGAGCTATCATCAACGTACAAAAATAGATGACACCAATCCAACAGTGCTGTCCCAGTGGAGAACTTCTCGCAGCAATGTTGATGCTCACAGCTAAATGTATAACCACAGTCATGCTTGGCACCACTGACCCAGAGAAGACGACTGAATAGCTAACTAGTGAATGTGCAGAGCTAGCAGACCATGACATGACCTATATGTCTCCCATCCATTGGTTGAGAATTAACCAGGAAATCACCTACATCTCTTGTTTTTATTAAAAATTGGGGGTTTGGAGTTGATGGTAAATCAAAGGGGGAAAAAAAAAAAAAAGAGCAGCCGTTTTAAATAAACAGCAGGATTATCTTATGGAAACGCAATGGTGTTTCTTGGAACCACACTGTGAATAGTCTGGCTGTGCAACCTTCATGCCTTTTGTATTTCAAAAATAATTTCTATGTTGAGTTACAACAGAAAAACTAAAAAGCCTGCCAGAGTTCTCTTTCCTATGAGCTTACAGATCAGAGAATGAAGAGAATAAAAGAGTTTTTGTCTGGAGCAAGTTCAAAATAACAGACACACTGTTGAGCAGGAGAGCAATGGCAGGGATGGGAGACACTACAACAGACTTTCTTTTCCTTTGTCTTGCCGCTGGAGTTCCAGATAATTCCCCAAAACCAGCTCCCATCGTTGGGCTGACTTTGGTTGAATAGATTAGCAGGGGGCAGACAAGCGCTGTGAAGCTTCATGCATGCATAACATATACGCTACCTGCTGCCATACGGCAGGAGACAGAAATGATTACTATTCGTCTACTCTTCTTTTACCATTCTTTAAACAACCCTGAAAACCACAAGAGATAGAGGCCCAAGTTTATGACCCTCTTTATTTTCTTTCAGTGATTTATTTCCACCCAACAATGCACTGGTGCTGTGAAACACTGTAAACCATCACAACTGGTGCTCACCCAGCAAAGGCCAAACTCTGGGCTGTGCTTATTACTTGATTTAGCGATATCAGATTCAGTGTCCTCACATGCAAAATATGCATAAGCTAATACTCCCATGTTGTTTTAGTATCCTTGATTTAAGAATAAATTTAGAGCCCGGTTAAATCTACATCCCAGTAGTTTTAGCTAGACTTTTCTTAGCTATTCAGGCTCCCTCATTTCCAAAGATATCTCCATAAAAAATGGCATGGTATTTTCTCCGTCTGCCAGCCCACATATCACGGACTTTAAACATGCAGACTTGAGGCAAGGCATTAGACAGCAAGCAGCAGTTTGATGGGGCTCCTGGCCACAGCACAGTACCAAAATAGCGATTTACTCCAATGAAAAGCACTCCAGACTTGCACCTCAGCACTTCACAAGCCCAAGTAAACACTGAGGAGAAGAGAGTTTACGATGATCCAAACCTTAAGCTTGAATTAGACCAACACACAGATACAAGAATGGCGCTGTAAAGCCTTTTTGTGAAAATACATTCAAATGCCTGAACACGAGTGGACTGCCTTAGCTTTTCTTAAGAGCCCATCAGCTCTCAGCTGAGAAGTTCAGGTCAAACTTGTTTAATTTGTCTAAACTTGCCCAATTGTCTGAATACATAGACTGAAATGTTTTTGCTTACACGGTCTTTATTAAGAGCCATGCAGCTGGACACTGCCCCTTGGATGACGTGGTAACTCTGAGGAGGTGCTGATCTGCTCAACTGCAGTTGTTTGCACACCACTCTGGCCATAACCAAGGGTAACAGCAGGTTTGTCAGAACAAAATTGCAGCCCAGATTTTTGGAATTTCAAGAAAATAGTTATTTGTGAGCTTCCAGTGGTGAGCAGACCCCAAGCTCACCACCAGAGAAGTTGAAGATGCAAGGTTTCAAGTCAAGGGGACTCCACAGATGCCTAAGCTTTATTCTGAGTCTCAAAAAAGGGGGGATTTTACATAAAAACATTAAATATTGGTGCACCACTGGCTCCAAAGAGTAGCAGAGGAATAGGGTTTCCAACCACATCTCTCATACACATTCTCAATAATAAAAACAAATGTGTTGACTGCCCTTTTCCCTAAGAAAGGAAGGCAAATTGATGCATTATGCCCATTGTCTTGAAGGAAATCAGTCAAGTGTCGTTGAACAATTGACTTTTCAGACACATGCAACAAAAGATTAATTACCAAGCCTTTCTGGAAAATTATATCTAAAATAGCATCTAGATATTTTTATTAAAATACATTTGAAAGACTATGAATTAAAACATTGACTCTTTCTAAAGAAAACTAACTGTTGATCATGAATAGCCAGAAAAGCAAATTTTTAAGCTATACCTGGAAGAATAACGTCACACTTCTTTTACTAGACCTAGATGGAGAATATTTTTGTTCAGACAAAAATTCTGAAAACTAGTTAGCATTTTTCTTCAAAAGCTTCAGTATCTCAATAAAATAAAAAGAAAATCCTCTCAACTATTTTTTCTCCAGATCTGGACAACTGAAAACTAAATCCTTATTCCAGAAACCACAATGCTAGCTGGAAACTAATATTGCACATGGAAATTGAAAGTTTCTATGAATTACTGCCAAAACTTTTCCATACAGAAAATGTCAACCAGTTCTATATTTTACTCTGAAGTTGTCAAGATGTGAAGCCAGTTGGCAGGTTTATGTTACACAAAATTACTAATTGCTCACATCACATAGGAAATTTCTAATAAAAGCTTAAGGAAGCTTTGCAAAAGTTTTGCTCAGGAGTTCACTCAAGGGCATTAATTTAAAGCGATAAGCACTCCAGAAGGAGTACTTGCTTTAAACAACGTTATGCCAAGCAGTCGATTTTAATCACATTATCTGGCATAGACTTGACCTATGCAAACCAGGCTTAAAACACACAGAGCTGCTTTGGGCTTCCACCCTTGTAGTCAGAAGCCGTGCCCCATACAACTGGCTATTGGGATAGGATGCTTTTGACTGATACGCTTAGCCTGAGCCCTGGGAAACATAGCTACAAGGCACGATCCACCAGGTATTACAGACCTTTCCAGGCTCACATTCTGTCCCATCAGCCCAAGGCGTGTGCTGGGTACGACATCCCTTGTGCGCGCCATCAATGTTAATACACCAAAGTCGCCGACACTGCATCTGCTTAAGTTATTGAAAAGATCAAAATATTAAACAAATATGTGCTACATGTCTTACCAGATAGATTATTCTCTACAAAATTATCCTCCTAAGATCTATCACTAACTCACAAGCTTGACAATAATTTGATGGCTTGTGAGCCTCCCATTCATCCAACCCCAGGAGCCCTTATTTTGCCCTGGCAACACCAGGAAAACCAAGGTGTGGAATTTCACTTACCATATACGGGCACACTTGAGATCCGGGTCCAAAAATTAACTCACATTGTTTGTTGACATCATAGATCAGCCCAGGGAGCTGCTGAGGCAACGTGTAAGTTCTTGATGAAGGTTCATCAAGCAAACACTCCCCATAACCAGTGCTACAACACAAAGAAGAAAAGTGGTGTTAAACAGGAGGCAATGAGACTAGAACCCATTGGTGTTTACCTGAGTCAGCCTTAGGGCAGATGCACACCACATTTGCCACGTTTAACAAGCACTACAACGGCTACTGCAGAGTCGAGCACAGGAGGATAGGAGGCTGCGTTACCCATTCACCACCACCCCCGTGCTGTGCTAATGACCATCCACCACAGTGCAGTCAGCTACCCTGGCAAAAGCATTGCTGAGCATGCACGACCTGCATTTAGTTGCTGAGCATGCTCTGGTATGTATTTAGAAAGAAAATCTTTGATTAGCAGAAGAACTGCCCGAGGGACTGAGCTCCTGGATTTGCCAGGACACCATCGTGGCTCTTGTTCTGCTCCCCATCACAACACATGGGAAAGCATCATGGCAAAACAGGCAATCACTGTGCATCAAACTGTCCTGGAGCAGTGTTCTCACCATGGACTAGTGCCAGGGCTTTATCTTGACCCATGGAGCAGAAAGGCAGATTCAATCTGCCTCCTAAAACACAGCTCTGTATCTGGGCCACAGGGCTTGGAAAACTCACTCTTCAGGTTCGAGGAGAACACACATTCCTTAAAAGCAATATCCATGGGGGAAGACTTATTCTTCCCCATAGAGAGGCTGGGGGCTGCCAGCTTATCATGAGGCTGAACTGGCAGGGACTGGATGCTAGGAGTGCATTCC